ACCAGTCAGAATGCCTGTGACTAGGCGCAGATTCTGTCTAGTCATAGTCAAGTATTTGTTTGCTGCAGTGTTGTCAGGATAACTTAAGAGCTGTCTGGCAACTCTTGTTCCATCCCATCTTTCCTTGAATTTCAGAAGGAAATGTTCTTTGATTAGGCCTGTCACTACCGATTTTGTAAGGCAAATAGAAGGGCCAGGTCCTGAAAGTATTTGGTTTTCTGCTTTTTTGGCTAGTGAATCAGCAAGACGGTTATCTTTCGATGTGGCGTAACCTTTAATCCATCTTAAGGTGACCACATTGTTGATGGATACTTCGGCCAAAGCTTCGTGACATTCTAGTACTAACCCTGAATAAATTCGTGGTCTGTTCAGGCTGAGTAGTGCTTGTCTGCTATCTGTATAGATTGGCATATTCCTTCAAGTGATATTGTGTCTGGTTATTTCTTTTGTTGTTATCAGAATCCCAGTTAGCTCTGTTTGAACTACACTGGCACTATTGCTCACAGCCTATTTTATGTTTAGGTTTAAGAATCTGGAGTATATTCTACATCCTGAGCCTTGTTTTGTTTTAGAACCGTGGGTGTAGATATGAATCGTACCTGCCACTTCCGGCTCTTTTACTTGTTCTATTATAACTTTATATGGCTTATGAAAGATATATTTCGGTGAGATGGAGTTCATGTTCGCTTGAAGCAGTGGAAGCGTTTCGAGCGCCTCCTGCCAAATGTGACGTCTCGCCTCACCAGATCCTACATCAGGTTCTATTCTGGCCGTGCGGAGGTATATCATTGTCGTCAGAGCAACCTCTTTTATTTAAATATCAAGGGAAGTGAGACTAAGAATGACTTCCATGGCTGTAGTCGGTGTTGTTTTCATGGCTCCTGTTATGTTGAGACATGCTATTCTTTGAATTTGTTGTAGTTTACGGATAGCTGTTAATTTTTGGGTTTTCGATACCCATACAACTGCACTGTATGTTAGCACAGGTCTTATGATAGCCGTGTAAGTCCATGCGACGATTCTGGGGGAGAAACCCCAGGTGCGCCCCACGGTTTGGCGGCATTGTTCATAAGCAATGTATGCTCTTTTAACTCCGTTTTCTAAATGCGAGTTCATGTTAACCTACTGTCAAAGGTGAGACCTAGATACTTCACCTCTGTTGGAAAGTTTAGTTTTGTGTTTAGGAGTTCTGGAGTTTTTTATTCCATTTTCATCCTTTTCCTTGTAAAAAGGTCCATTTCTGTCTTCTTAGGATTGATAGACAGTGAATGGTAACACTCTTCTATAATTTTAAGAGCTACTTGCATTCTTTCGCAGATAATGTTCTCAAAATTCCCTGTTTGCAGAATGACCAGGTCATCTGTATCTGCTATTGCGACTGTAATTATTAAGGCGGCTGATGAGGGTGTCGAGGACCATATTCCTTAGTGTTGCAAGGTCATTCACTGTCTAGCAATCCCAAGAAGCCGAAAATTATACTTTTCATAAGGAAAAGCATGAAAATGAAATTTAAACCTCCAGAACTCCTAAACACAAAACTAAACTTTGCAACAAAGGTGAAGTACCCAAGTATCGCCTTTGACAGCAAGTTAACTTGAAACTTACACTTAGAAAGTAGAGTCAAAAGAGCATACATTACTTATATACAATGCTACTGAACCGTCGGGCGCACCCTTCGGGCGCACCTGGGGTTTCTCTCCAGAGTCATCGTATTGAGTTACATGGCCATCATAAAACTTATGCTAAGATACGGTGCAGTTGTGTAGGTACCGAAAACCCAAAAATTTAAAGAACAGCATGTCTAAACATAACAGGAGTCATGCAAACCACTCCGACCAGAGCCGCGAAAGTCATTCTAAGTCTCGCTTCCATTGATACTGTATCCACAAACGCTACTCCACCATTCGACTTTGAATGTAACTCAATATTTAACCTCTCTAAATTTGAGGAAAAAGAAGTGTTATGGGCTTTAAGGTAGATCAAACTGAAGAAAACCACCGGCCCTGACATGTGCCGGCGTTTGTAGTTAGAGACTGTGCTGTAAGTCTTACTGTACCTCTAATGATTATTTTAAATATGTGCATTAAGCTTCATACAGTACCTAATTTGTGGAAAAGTTCTAAGGTTTATCCTTTATTTAAGAAAGGTGACAAACCGGACATTGCGAATTTAAGACCAATATCGATAATATGCAACTTTATAGTAAAGTCTTCGAAATCCTTCTGCACAGACACTTAGAGTATTATATTTCACCCATGATATCATGCCATCAACATGGACATCATGGACAAGCCTGAGCATATCTAAAACATGGACAAGAAAGGCTGTCGGTTAACATTACACCACCAATAAACAGTTCTTGCAAAAAAAAGGAGCAAAGCGAGTGCACCTTGTGGAAAATAAGCATAGACAAAATGTCACAATATTATCTTGTGGCAATGCCCTGGGTTTTGCGATTCCTTCCTTAATTTTATTTAAAGGGAAAAGGATGAAGTCTAAATGGGCAGATACGCTTTATGACCCTAAAAGGTAGTATGACCATTGATGCTTTTAAACAATGGCTGCATCATTTTGCCTAATACAAAGTTGCTGGTCAATCTCTTTTAATTTTCGATGGTGCTAAATATCATCTGGATTATTATATTATCACCATCGCAGAAGAGTTGGATATAACGTTATATTGATTTCCAAGCAATACAACGCACGAACTACAGTCTATGGATAGGTCTGTGGTTCGCTCATTTGAACACTATTGGGATTACGAAGTTTTAAAATACTGGTCAACACATAGGGATCGTGCTATATCAAAACAACGTTTTAAAAACATTTTTTCTGTAGTTTAAGACAAATGTATGACACCATCAAACATTAAATCTGGTTTCCCAGTAACTGGAATTTATCCGTTCAATCCGGACATTTTACCACCCAAAGCATATGCTCCAAGCAGTGTAACTGAACAGAAAAATCCTGGCCAACAACCACCTACGCAACATATAGTCATGACACGTCCTCCAGGTCCTTCCAACAGTCGACCCATTATTTCACGGCACAAGTTGTTACCAAACACCTTTTCGCTAGGTCTGATCTAATAGGCAACACTTCTACTCCCACGTCTAAGAAACCTGTACCAGAGAAAAAGTCCTTCGGCTCGAAGAAAGCGACCAGTAAACAAAGTTGGTATTGCAAAGCATACAAAATGGACAGAATCGCAGACATGCGTCTTTGCGTGGTTTGCGACAGGTATTTACACGACGATGTTGGGACCAACCAAGAAGGATAAATTTGAGGGTTACATTTGTCCATATTGTTCCTTAACATTTTTTGCTTGTTTATTACTACCTATGTTTATGTTTTCTTTTTATATGAATAAACGTTAATTTAGAAAAACTGAATTTCCTTGTAAAATTTCCGATAAAAACAACATTTTGTACGAATAATATTATGTGACGTTATTACTAACCCCCCTGAGACAATATCGCCAATGTGCAATGTTTTAAAAAAATGTTTGCAAAATGCACAAACTTACCCGTAAGATCTTTTACTATTTTAAATTATTACTACGATGTATTAGTAACATTCCTACCCCAAATTTTTTTTTTTTTTTTTTAATATACAGTACTATGATATTAAAACATTATAAGCTTAGCATGGCGATATTGTATTCAATAACCTTATCACGGGTAATAGTTGAATAGTTAGTGTTACATGTAACTACATTACCGACATATTAATAGTTGAATAGTTAGTATTACATGTAACTACATTACCAACAGAGGATTAGTTCAACCACAATCCCCCACAGGTAGCTACCAAAGACATTACAACTAAGAGACCAAATTGTTTACATTTTTATGTGACAAATCATTATTCCCACCAAAATAAAACACATGGTCTTCCGTTTAAAAAATAGACGTTTTTATTTATCAAGCAAAAGAGCAACACCCTGTGTATCCAAAAATATGTTAAAAATGTGCCTTCTTCAAATTCATATAACTTTTATTTAAAAATGTTTTCGGTGTTCATAACACAAACTAAAATATCAAGCAATTACGCAATATTGGGACAATTTTTATAATAAAAAATCACCACTTTTGTTTAATTTTGTCGATATATTGCCCTTTAAATATTATCACGTACGTTAGTTACTGTTTCTGTATAATTCGGATTGGAGGTCATATAGTGACGCATTTTCTTCAACTAAATTATTCAGCAGATTACCATCATCAATCGAAAACTTTGTGTTTGCCATTTGTAATAATCAATATTACCAATCACCTCAAAATACACGCGCTAAGCGCGACAGCAGATGATAAGGAACAAACACAGCTCCCAGACCGTGTTGAGAGTGCTGTTTTGATCTTTGCATCGGTCCTCTGATTTCGACGTAAAGAGCAGCATTTCGGTCGTATGTCGCGGTCGTCTGTTGCGGTAACTTTCCTTGGTCTCCTGTCTCGGTTTCGCGTTTTCAAATGGTATATAATTGAATTAAAACCTGCCTGTCCTCCCCATACCCCCTGCTGTCTTCGCTGCAGGGAGTCTCAAGTTCAAAATCACTTCCGTCTAAAAGGGCTTCGAATGATGACTTATTATTGTCGTCTAGGCTGAATGCATTCCACTGTTATATCGTCTATCTACGTAATTTATAGGTGGGCCGCCTATGAAAATTCTCCTAGTCTCCGTTGGTGACTAGAAGGACCTTCTCCGCCCAGACAGTTAGTCGTCTGTTATACAGTCCTTGTCTGTTTCGCGGTTGTTAGTATTCTAAAAGGAAATGTTTAAAGATAATCATAAAATATTGATAAGTTTTAAATGCACATTTTTGCACCCTATTCCAGCAGTTTTAGTGGCCTAAGCGGCACTTGTTTAGATTTGTAGATTTCAGCAAGGTGGTCGCCTATTTGAGTCTTAAATGCATTTGGTTTTGGTTTTGCTGAACTAAATTGAAATACCGAAGTAAACATGATTAAGAATGGCCACCGGCCCAGAAAGAAAACTCGTTACCTACATAACATTTTATTTAATAATTTTAGCAAACAATTTAAATATAATCTCTTCTTATACCATCGTAATCAGACTTTTTTATTCTCAATTCTCTACTGTCTTTCTTTCCGACAAAAGGTATAACCGCAGTACATTCATCACAATTTCTCGTTTGTTGATTTTCATTCAAATGTACACTACTTTTTGTTCTTGCAGAAGAACTGCGGCGTTGTATGTCTTGAGATTGCTTACGATTCGTATTTTGATTTGAATGTTGATTTGTATTCTGTTTAGAATGGTGATTCGTATTCTGTTTTAAATGTCGGTTTGTATTTTTTTTCGAATTATGTTTAGTATTCTGTATTGAATGTGCTTTTGTATTCTGTTTTGAATTTTGTGCTGTACTGTTGTGGGCAGTTTTATTACTTCTAACATCAGAACATTTTGACTGAGCATTGCGCTTTCTCTTCCTCTTGCTTATCGTTGATTTATCTTTAATTTCTCTTTCGTAAACTCTTCTTCGTCTTCTTACAAACGGTACCTGTTTAGAAATGTCAATATAATATTGCTTTTCATTTTCATTTAAATTTCGCCACATTTCGGCACCTTTTTTGATAATATCTAAAAAACTTAATTTGTGTTTATTATTTCTTCTGAAATCTACCATAAAAGTTAAAAACGGATTTCGAAATACTTTTGATGGTGCTTGTCGAGCAGTAATTTTATTCTTTGAATTGGTCATTTTGGTCGCCGAATGATTAGATTCCATACTTTACATGAATTTCTTGTATTCAGTTACTCTGGGTGTCTGAAAATGAAATATCTGGACAGCTTTCAAAAATGAAATATCGTGTAATGTCATTGGAAAATGTCATGATCCACGTGAATAGCATACAACGCATACAACACTGTTTCATAGAGAATAGTCACCATAGAGAATAGTCACCTTAGAGTATAATTATAATACTAGAGATATCATTCCTCCGAGCAATTACTAATAGAGGGAGCGTGAAAATGAGTTTGTAGGCGAATGTTGTGTTAGCAACATCTGTAGAGGAAGTAAGGAAGCGGGCACAAGGGGGAAGGTAAACATCCTTCTTGTTCAGTGGCGTATCATTTATCTATAAAAACATACATTGTCCAAACGTTTTAATTGTAAAAAAAAACTAAAAATTTTGCTAATTTAACTATTTTTAAAATGAATACCGTCTTATGTGTGTCTAATGCAGCAAAAGAAACAAAATCACTGTAAAGGTCTAATTTTTTCAATTGAAGAATAAAACCTTAAAATCAATTTTATTATAAATACAGGAGCGACTAGTTTCGGCCTTACAGGAACATCTTCAGGCCTGTAATACAATAATCTTTAATTATTATAATAGGTTGGTCACTTACGAATAACATTAAATAGTATAAACCACATAAATGGATCCATATTGTAGCGTTACAGCATTATAGAATTAAAGCTGTGAAAATAAAAGAGCAGTGCAAACGTAACTAAAAATAAGAAAACTGAGTACGAAATCTACAAGAGAAGAGGTGAGAATGAGCAATTACAAATCCATTTAAATTGCTCGGGATAACAAATAAAACTGATAATGTAGTGGTATAGTCCCCGTCAAAGAAGGTCTGGATATGTTAAAGAGGACGGCGTTTTCTCTGTAAATCTGGAGAATGTAAGGATGGAGGGAAGACGAATCTTGCTGGCTCAGGTGTAGATGGCTAGAAAAAGGAGCGTGTAGATTAAAGCTCCAGTAAATATCGTCACTTTCGTCTAATTTTTATTCTCACTCACCGTTTCGGCTTTATCTTCGAAATTCATTTTTAAAAGGAAATAAAAGTAATCATTCGTACAAGCATATAATAAAACAACATGAATTCATTATATTTAATAAGCTAATAAACGTTTGTTTCAATGAAAAAAACATATATATTAGTATAAAAAATATATAAATAGATAAGATTAATATCAAAATTAATTTAAAAATACAACAGATAATAAACTGAAATGAATTAATACAAGTACAAATAGAAAGTTAATAACATACCTTCTAAAAGTAACACATTTTGGGTAGATAAATGTTTAAAGAGTTTATTCCTGAACATAACTAATCTAACGTTTTTCCCCTTTTTAATATTATGAGGGTTTTTGTAGTTGAAATGAAAATTATAATTTATTTTGATCCTAATAAAAATTTAAATATAGGTTATCAAAGAGTAAAATTCATAATAGAACTTCATAATCTTAAATCGTTATCAAAAATTATCATTGGTAAAACTTCAAACAATAATTAGATTCTCAAGCAAATTTCTAGTTTTTGTTTTGCAAAAGACTTTTTTGCCTTCTTCGGTTGCCTCTGCCACTTTTCTTTTAGTAGTTTCGAGGAGAATTTTCCTATGGTAACCAGTAGAACCATCAATTGGTTGGTAAAATTTTGATATTTTGAGTCTGGTAAGTCTTGTTAAACTTTCTTCCTAGGAAACTATAATCTTATGGAGAATAAAAATTTAATGTTAGATCAAAAGTTCTTAATTGAGAATTATATTTGCAAATGCCGGTTTAATAATATTTTCAAAAGTTCTTGGAATCGTTGTTAACAGAAACCTGCAAAAAATATATAATTTTATTCCTAAAATATAAGATATCACACAATGCACATTCGTATAATATCATTGTGCTAGAAAAATACTAGGTAGTTACTGAGACAATTTAAAAAAGTATTTCGAGAAACTCAACTTTAATGTCATCATTGTACTTAACTTTTTTATTGCTAAATTATTAATAATGTCATTTTGTGTAGTTCGTTGTGATTTTTATAATATATATTATAAAAACCTATTGTCAATGTTAATGTGCCAAGTTTTTTTAATAATTATGTCCTTGTTATAGGAAAAACACATTTAAACACATTTTTAAAGTTTTCTGGATTCTGCTTTAAATTATCGTATAATTGAACTGACTAATTGTGTGTTTAAGTAAAGGTATATCTCTTTTTTGTTATAACAGTCTTTGTATATTGTTCTAACTTTTTAGATAATCAGAGAAAACTGTAAGACATCTTAATATATCCTATTTCACCAACAAAAATGTAGAATAATTAATCTCACATCAAACGAAAAAAGTAATTTTAGGATGTCTTAATAGGTTTTAACTTAAAAACTAAATAAAATGTATATTGCAACTGTGTTTAAATAAATGAATGTTTTTATACCTGACTATAGCACCAGACAAACATTTTTTTAGATCATAATGATCTGCATAACTTAAAATAGTCAAAATCCACATTATTTAAGTTGTTCTAGTATTGTTTTAGCATAACGATGTTAACTCCAATAATAAATATTCACATTTTTTTGGGACGTGTTTTAAGGAAATTAAAAAAAAAACATGAATAATGTGATATTCTTGTTTAGTTTTGTACTATATAATATAGTTCATTAGGTAGTGATTTAGAAGCAAATTATGTTCCATTTATAGAATAAAAAATCACTCATAATATCTAAATATTTATACCTATTTATATTTTGGCCAGGAAGACTATTTTGTTTTTGGCTCTGAATAGTTTTCTTAAGAATTTTAAAACCTTCCTTAGCTCTTTTGGGATATTCCATGCATATCTTAGAAGTTCATTTTGTTTAAACCTAAAACAAATTAAGTACAAAAAATGAACATTTAAGCAATATACAAAATTAGTCTTTTGGATTAGTTAAAAAAAAGTATCAACAAAAAAATAGCTATGCTTTTTTCCTTAAACATTCTTTTTGAAAGAAACTTAAGTTTCTCTACTTACTTACTGTTTTAGTATTTTAGTAGCAGATGAATATAGTGTAGAAGTAGTGACAGGATTGATTATTATACTTCTTTCGTCGAAATTGCATTTTTCTTTAATATTTTCCTTCCCTGAGGTCTGTAATAAAAATTTTCATTAGCATAAAAAGTTATTCAGGTGGTCACTTGTTGAATTCCTATCTTTTGGAACCATGTATTTCTTTCTCATATCAAGAAAAGGAAACCTAAAAAAAATAACAATAAACTCTACAAAGATGTGATATTAAAATAATAATAATAAGTAATTAACCTTTACTATAATCATTATGAGACGGATGAAGACGAACTTAGCTGGAGTGTACTTGCTCTTAATTTTAAGTTTTCGATTAGAAAATAAGAAAGTTTAATTGCAAATTAAAGGTGATTGCCTAATGCACCGCCTCTGATAATTAGGTTGTGTCTGTACTTACTTATGATATTATCTTGAAGAAGCATTTTCAACAGGCCTTTTACACATTAAGCATGTTTTCACCATATTATTAGAGATAATAAATCTTAAATATACATTTACAACCCTTACAACGTTATAAATAATAATATTTTTCGTAAAATACAAATAAGAAATTGACATGTGTCAGAAAGTGTCAGAACTGGCGCTCACAGAACACTTCTGGCGCTGTCAAACTTGGCAACGCCAATTACAGAAGAGGTATTTTCCCCCTCGTGGGGAGTAGATGTTGCTAACAAAATTTAGCGCGGGGAAGGGGGGAAAACTCCCTCTAGTAGTAATTGCTTGGAGTATCATTCAATGTATTTTGTTAAATATAAGCGGGGTCATCACTTTTAGCATGAGGGATGCAGGGTAGGTACTTAATTCTCAATGGCGTACGGTTTGAAAGGGTTCGTATATATGTTTACCATTTATGCACTGTAATTTCACAATAACTAATAATTTAGATAATTGATTAGCATTATTAATTAACAAATTTATTAAAAAATGGTTTTTTCTATTTATGGTTATCTTACGTTGTCTACTAAATGTTTATGAAGTGCTAGCTAGGCTACCTTGCAAGAAGGTCGTGTAAATTGTGTTGTGTTGTTCCTAATATTAAAATTATTAAAATGACGAGAAGTACTACAAAGTAGGTTAGTAAAAATACCTTATCTAGTATTATACCAATAGATGAACTTAAAGATATTATTAATAAAATTGTAAAAGAACATACAGATGCACTTCTTGCAGAAATTAACACTTTAAAAAATGCAATAACTATATTGAAGGAGAGTTATATAGACATGGTTAGACTATTGTCAAGTAATGCTATCAATTCCAATATTTGTGACCTAAATTTAATTAACAAGTTGAATGAATCAAATTTGTCCGGCAACACAATTACTGAAAAAGAATTTCATTTCGATGATAAGATTAACGACAAAAACATCAATACAAACAAATCTGGGGAGCGATAATTAGAACATGCTCGAAAAAAAAGCACAGCTGCTAAAAAAACAAAACATAGTTGGTACGGGGGGCCATGGAAAAGATGTTTTAGCTAATAACGTAAATGATGAAGAAAATTTTGCTTCACAGCGTCAATTATGGGTTTATGTAGGTCGTTGTAAACCTACATCAGCAACAGATAATATAAAAAAATATTTGGAGAAAAGGATACATGGACGTGAATTTACTGTTACAAAACTGGAATGTCTAGGACGTAACTTATCTTATAAAGTAGAAGCTGATTTTGAACTGGAAAATCAAATATATACACCAAATTTTTTGCCGAAAGGAGTAACAGTAAAAAGATTTTAATTTTAAAACAAACACTATCAAGAAAGAGAATTTTAAACCCTTGTGGAACTACTCAAAAGGTATAATTAGGCTGTTGTGTGTTAAAAGTCAATGTGTAACAAATAAAATCGAACAGTTCGAGATGATAATTGAAGAATATGACCCTCATATTATATGTGTAACAGAGACGTGGTGTTCAGAAAATAATGTAAATTTAGTATGTTTTGAAAACTTTGTAGACGCAAGTTA